TTATGTTTTTGTCAAATACCTTTTTAGCATCTGTGAAAATGATATTTTTTCTCCTTACATATGTTAATATGATAAATTGATTATTTGATTCCTTAATAATGAACCACTCTTGTATTCAGTTGTAATGTATAATTTTTTAAATGTGTTATTGGATTGTCTTTGTTAATATTTTAGATTTTTTTAATCTATATTCATAAGGGAGATGGGTCAGTCATGTTCTTTATCTTAATTGCATTTCCTTTACATAATGAAAGTTATGTCCTAATATACTAGAGAAGACAATCAACTAGCCCATGAAGACCAGTAAATCTTTTAATTCCAAGGTGATTAATCTATACTCCAAAGTATAGAGTCTCCCAGAAATTTTCCTGGAACTATGGAATGCCAGGTCTGCAGCTTCAGGTCTACAGTCAGTCCTCACTTTACTATTCATCCTTCTGCCTCTCAGGTTATAAACTTATATTTCTCAATGTACAGCATCAGACTCATTAGGTGACACCCTTTCTCTCTCTGTGCATGTGAACCAGGGGCTTCAATTTCTAGTAAATACATTTCTGTGTAAAATTGTTTAACCCAAAGTTATGCCTTTCACAGAAAAAATACTGCATTTAAAGCTTCTCATTAATACTACTGCAATGTTTTTCTCCTTCCTCCTGTATGAGACCTCAATATCCCGAGAATTACTCACATTCACATTAAATTACTCCATATTCCAAGAATTACTCATTAAAATTAATAATTGCATTAATTTTATCTTATGGAGGCATTCTGATCCATGTTAATATTTCATTAATTTGTTTAACGCATAATTAAGTAGACTTTGGTGGCAATAGTAGGGGCAAGAAGAAAGGGCTCAAACATTCAGAGAAAAGCCATATCTCATTATTTTAATGTAGACTGCATATGTATTTTAAGTATCCTTTAATTTATTTGTTCTGTTAGATGTGCTTAATGAAAGACCAAATGTATATAATAAAAGTCTATATCAGTACTTCCATCAAAACTATAAATTTTTTTCCTATTTTTCTCTTACAGAGGACATAGAGATAAAATATTTGTGGTAAAGTGTAACCCACACCATACTGAGAAACTGGTTACAGTTGGGATGAAGCACATCAAATTCTGGCAACAAGCAGGTACTATTGTTTGGGTTTATCATTTATGTGCTTGAGAGCTTTCCTCCAGCTTAAAAAAAAAAGAAAGAAAGAAGAAAACCATCATCACAACCTAGCCTGTCTTTACAATCTAAAATTAAAATGTGCCTTAAGATGTTCTTTCCCAAATTCACTTTGGACTGTCTTAATGTCAAAACTGTGAAACTTAGAACACTCTATATGATGCAATGCATATTCATCAGTATCTAGAAAGCTTCAGGAAATGTTCTTCTGTGAAAATAATTGTTTTCATATTTAATCATCTGTTCTGAAAGCAGCAATTATGTTGGACTACTGAGCAGGAAATAAAAGAATCACTTTGGTTGGGTGAATACAATTTTCCATATTTTGAAGTTTCTTTTACTAATATATCACTCAAGTTAGCATGTGAATTAAACCCTGACATTACACACTGCAGGTGATCAAAATAAATATCTGTAGATATAATATTGATAGTAAGGATGAGTAAATAAGCATGACAAAACATAAAGGGATATCTTATTCCCATTAATGAGCCAGACCTATTATTGGGATTGTTTCTGAATTCTTAGCATCAACTTTAGTACCCAGCCCAATATTATACTGGTCAAGACATAAACAAGCTACCATTCCAGTGCTTCCCACTTTTAAATAAAAGATAATGGCATCCAACGTGTCTGGAGAGCCATCCTGTGTAGAGATGTCTGGAATTAGTCAGGGTCTCTCAGTGATAGTCAGGAAGTGCAGAGAAATGAGGAAAACTAAGAGATAAATCTGATATATCTTCTCCTACATTTTCCTCACCTCAAAGTTGCTATGATAAAAATTGAGGCAAAACATATATAACAGTTTACATTTTACATTCCAGCCAGTGCTATTTTCATTCTTTTTGGTCTGCATTCATAAGGACTCCCCCAGCTTTCTCAGGCAGTCAGTCATCCCGTCCTCTGGCTCGTATACTGTTTGCACTGAACCTGGTTAGACCCATGTTTCATTGGACTGAAATGCATATCTCTCTCCAACAGACCCTAAGTTCCTTGAAGGAAGGAACTCTTTCATCTTTATGCCCAAGCATTGACCATTATGCCTGACACAAAGTAGGGATTCAGTAAACACTGAATTAGTGAATGAGAAACCTCTTATAACATTTTGTTTATCATGTTTTGCACCATTTCTATACACCTTTATGTAATTTGGACACACTGAGTTTTTCATTGAAGATGGTCATTCTAAATGCTTTTCTAGAAGATGTCAGTCTTTAAAAAAAGTAATAAATACTCTTGGTCCACTCCAGGTGGGGGCTTCACATCTAAAAGAGGGATTTTTGGAAGTGCTGGAAAATTGGAAACAATGATGTGTGTTTCTTACGGGCGAATGGAGGATCTAGTGTTCTCTGGAGCAGCGACTGGAGATATTTTTATTTGGAAAGATATTCTACTACTAAAGACAGTGAAAGCTCATGATGGGCCTGTGTTTGCTATGTATGCATTGGATAAGGTATGATATATTGTCCTCATTAGCTTTCTAAAAATTTTAAGTTAGTCTTAGCAAGGCCCACACCAGGAGGATGCTTGTGTCTGAAACCTATACTATTTGAATTAGGAAGTAGTTGTCCTGAATGCAGGGGAATAAAACATTTTAAAATTTCTTTTTCATTTATAATTATTTCTTTATGTGCAATTTCTCTTCGCCTTTTTCACTCTCATTCTTCCTGGGCTTCACTCCTAAGAACTCCTTAAGAAGTGTTGGGCTAAATGTAGGCACACAGTAGCAGAAGAGTCCTGAGAAATATTTCAGCATTGTTTTCCTCCTCAGTGGCACAATTAGTAGCAGAGACCTGAAAGTAGCAAGTAGTTCAATCATGGTCTCACCCATCAATCTGGCCAAAAGTCATGTTGGTAACCAGTTTGTTCCTGTGTAGACAGGTTCAATTTCAAGGAGAGTCTTAAAGCAAAGTCTTCCACTGGCTGTATTAGTTGGGGTTCCCCAGGAAAGCAGAATCAGTAGGATATAGATGTACATTATACATTACACAAAAAGGAGAATTAGTATAAGGAATTGGCTTAGGCAGTTATGGAAGCTGAGAAGTGTCACTATGCCATGTGTAAGCTGGAGGCTCAGGAAAGCCAGTGGTGTAATTCAGTCTTTTAGTCCAAAGGTCTGAAAAGCAGGGGAGCTAATGTTGGAAATCCCAGTCTGAGGACAGGAAAAGATGAGATGAGATGTCCCACCTCAATCAATGAGGCAGGATAAAAAGGGATGAATTTCTTCCTCTGCCTTTTGTTCTGCTCAGGCTATAAAGGATTCAATGATGCCCACCCACATTAGGAAGGGGTATGTGCTTTACTGATTCCACCAGTTCAAATACTGACCTTATCTGGAAACACCCTCAGGACATACCCAGAAATAGTATTTAATCTAAGCAACCCATGGCCATTCAATTTGACATAAAATTAACCATCACGCTGGCCCTATTTGCACTCAAGCTCATCTTTGTCCTGGTCTGTCCAGCACCCACTTGCCTTGCAGTGATTTTTAAATAAAGATCACACTTATCTTCAGTTGTATTAAAACACTTTCTTCAATCAATTTGCCAAAAATACCAAATTTTCATTCATTGCTAGTTTGCTGCTGGTACCAGTTCATCTGTGCTCTCTACCTCCAGTCTAAGCCACCCAACACACCTAAGTAAGCCAAGCCTCACTTTGCATTTACCTGTTTGAAGGTAAATATGCTGATCCCTACAGAAGTAGGTTCTTGCTAGATGTGCAACTCTAGTGGTTGTTTTGGTGGTTAAGCTGTTTTATACTGGCAAATTTTTTACTGGTTGATCTGGAAATGTGAAGAAAAATGAAAGCAGAAAGCAAGATTTTTGTAGGCCCAGAAATTGATATGATATAACTTGTTTATAGCATGTTTTAAATATTTAAATATGTAACTTGTTTTATTGCTTGGTAAGTTAAGCTGAAAAGTCTTAGGAAAAGACAAGGATTCACAGTGTAATCTAATGTATTTAAATTTGACTTGGGGATTGAATCTCTCCAGGTGCAAAATCTACAATAAGAATAAAGATATTGACTATCATAAACTTTAAAAATTATTTCCTTATAAACTTAATGAAATGCAGTAAACTAAAAGTTTGTGAAAAGATAGATGAATTGTTCAGTATTCTTTTTTAAAAAAGAAGTTTTTCCAAGAACAGTTGGTATATATAAATTGCCAGAAAGGAAGACAAGTAAAGCCAAGAAATCATACGCTTAGAACAGGAATAAAGATCAATGTTCAGTAAAAAATATCCAATATGGTAAGTCTTTTACTTTCCAGGTTTCAAAAAATTTAATCTGGATTTTAATTATTGTGGAAATTGATGTTTGCTGAACAAAATAGGATAGTTTTGTTATATAAAGTACCTATGTTACTCTTACTAATAAGAAATGATGTTTTCTGTTGGATTCATTGTTAATTGCATGTTAATTACAGTTCATTCAGTAGGAGTATTTGAGATACCAGAAACTGCCAGACTTTAAGGCTAGTCCTATTCCGTAGGCTAGTCCCATTGTAGTCAGCAGACGGGGCACAGACACAGCCATGCATGACCCAGGATGCCAGTGCCAACCAGTGGTCTGAGGAGAGTGCAGTGGGCACACACTGAGAATGTACTTGATCCTGCCAGGGAAGTAGGAGAGAGAGCTTCTCACAAAATATTATATTAATGTTATTTGTTGTTATCAGATTTTTCTGTCCTCTGTACTTAAGAAGAAAGCATGGACAGAGCTGCTTTACCCAGGGGGAATCCTTTGGAGGCTACTTGGGTGGGTAACTTGTCTTTTGATGTGTATGTAATTTTTCCCATGTGTGCCTTCACAGGGTTTTGTAACAGGTGGAAAGGATGGAATTGTGGAGCTCTGGGATGATATGTTTGAGAGATGCTTGAAGACTTACGCCATTAAAAGAGCAGCATTGTCGACTAGCTCAAAAGGTGCCACTCCTGAATATGCAGTAGGAATCTTTCTGTTCATAGAGATGGAAAAGACAGTATTAAAGTTCTTGGAAAACCATTACCAAATCAAATCTCTTTCTTCCACCTTTAGAGCTCCTAGCACCTGGTAGAAATATCAAGGATGATTGCCTAGTACCTAGTACTTTGAAACTATAAAGACAGAATTTATATAATCATCAGTCTTTTTAGTTTTTATTATAATTAAATGCAATATTTACAATATAAAATACATTATCTCCCCCACCCCCATCCCAGGTTTGCTTTTGGAAGATAACCCTTCGATTCGTGCCATCACTTTGGGACATGGACATATCCTGGTGGGAACAAAAAATGGAGAGATCTTGGAAATTGATAAAAGTGGCCCAATGACTCTGCTTGTTCAGGTACTGTGTACATGTTCCAACTGCATTTCAGAGCTGGGACTAGGGGAGGCAAGGGGGCATTTGGGTGCAAAATCTAAGGTTCTCAGGGTTATGCAGGTACAGTGTTAATTACCTATTGTTGTATAACAAATGTCACAGACTTAGCAGCTTGAAACAGCACACATTTAATACCATTTGGTTTCTGTGGGTCAGAATTCTGAGCATAGCTTAACTGGCACCTCTGTTTAACTGGTTTCACGAGGTGGCAATAAAGGCCAGGGCTGCAGTCTCATATGAAGCTCAACTGAAGAAGGATCTGCTTCCAAGGTCACTCACGTTGTTGGCAGGCTTCAATTCCTGGTGGCTATGGTACTGAGGGCTTTCATTTCTTCCTGGCTGTTGGCCAGAGGCCCCCTTCAGCTCCTAGGGGCTGCCTACAGTTCCTTCCTACATGGGGTTCCCTGACATGGCTGCTTGCTTCCTCAAAGCCGGCAAGGAAAAGAGAAAAAACAGGTACTGCAGTCTTATGTAATATAATCGTATCATCGCATACATAGAATGATGAACATCTATCCTCTTTGCCATATTTTATTGGTTGGCAACAAGCCACAGGTTGTGCCACATTCAAAGGGAGGTGATTATGCAAGAGTGTGAAAACCAGGAGGATTGTGAAGGTCACTTAAAGAGTCTGCCTCTGGCCACCAATTATTAATGTCTCTACCATATGCAAAATACATTCTTCTCTCCCAAGGTCCCCCAGAACCTTATCTGTTCAGAGTCCATAATCTCATCATCTAAATAAAGTCCAGATGTGAATGGGGCTCCTTAGGTATATTTCCTCTCCATCTGTCAATCTGTAAAACTAACAAGAAAAATGATTTGTTCTGAACACCCCAAATGTACAAGTATCTCCTTAGATTTTGTGTCTCATTCTAGTCTCAGCCTTGATTCACATAAGCACATTACATACTCTGTACTTTCATTTTCCCCTCAAGAATTATTTTCAGGTAAAATCAGATTATAATAAACATCAGCAGAATCCTCAAGATCAAAGCAGTGATAAAGTCTTTCCCAAGGTCACGGGAGTATGTGGAGGTGAGTAGGTAGGTAGCTGTGCAGGTCAGTGATGGATAGACCTTGTTTATAAATGGAAGGAGCAAGGGGAGAGGTGAAATGTACATTCAGGAGTTGGAGTCAACAGAATATATAGTTGATTATATGATTTTCAGGACTTCTGTGGGTCTGATACAGGAACTTCTCCTCTTTCCCTGACCTGATTCATGCCTTGAACAGTAAACTTGCTATAGGAAGGATTTACTCCAGAGGGACTCTGATTTGCTGCACCCTGAGAACAAACAGGTCTGCACACACATCATGGCTCAGAGCAGTACAGGGTTTTTAAATGCATGTGTCCTATCCCCACCGTGAATACCCTGAATGAGAATCTATGTTTAAAATAAAAATCTTGTGTTAAGAACAAACCTCAGAAACTCTGTAGCTGATTGTACTGGGTGGCCAGGATCGAGGGCTGCACTGAGATGCGTCCTGGAGGTGTGGCTTCTTTGTTCTCCAGCTGCTCTTGCTTTTGTTTTCGCTATCCAAACTAATTGTTTTTTCTTTCTGGCCATGACTTCTTATTTAATTTTATTGAAAATGTTTATTTCTTCTTAACCCTCAAATGATGAGACTTTAAACCATTTGAGTACATGCTATATTGCTAAATATCTTATAAGATTTATGCTATAATGTGATTTAAACAATACAGTAAGATTTCACTGTTTTCTAATTTTGAAAACTATTATAGAGTTAATTTTAACTATGTTTTAAACTTGACAAGACTTTTCACTTTTTTCTCTACATTTTTATTCCTTTCTGTTCTAGTAAAATAACCACAGGTACCATTTACTGAACACCTACTATGTGTCAGGCAGTACTGTTGTACAAAATTTATTTCTCATCTCCACAACAGATTTTCTCAATTGAAATTGTTTTATAGACAAGGGACCCAAAGCCCAGCAAAATTACCCACATGCTAAGAACTGCAGAACTGTGATTCAAACCAAGGTTTGTCAGACACCAGAGCCCTTTTTGTTCTAGCACTAGAGCAGCCTGTTCTCCAGATTTGTCTCAGCGTGGAGACTGCAGGAAGCAGTGCAGAAGGCGTGGTCCCCGGGACAATGGGCAGGCAATGGAACTGGTGGGCACTTGAGGAAAGAGCGGTTACCACTGTCTTTTCTCCCTACATGTGTATCACTCTTTTCCTTCTTCCTCAGCATCTCTTTCCTCTTCTGGTCTATCACTCATCCGTCATTTCCTCCTCAGCAGAACTCAGTAGTTGAAGTCAGTCAGTGTGTCCTGGTGGGGTCAGCCTTGTGCTGTGCCCCATGAATGGTGGGATGGGGCTTCCTGTTCCCTCAGGGCTCACAGACCTGTTCTGAGGGAGACAGAGTCAAGGAACAGCAGGGGCAGCATGGTACAGACCATCAACTGCTATGGGGAGATTTTAGAGCCATTTTTCCAGTGTCAGTAGCATGGCAATTCAGTGTCACTTGCACTGGACTGCTTGTTTGTTAAGAGAAGGAAAGCTAAGCTGGGGGAGAAGAGAAATGTACCATCAGGTGAATTCTGAAAATTCCTATTATATGTGCTTTGAACATAGTTAACACTCAATTATGCAGCTGTTTATTATCAAGCTTATTGGGTGATCAATAGGAAAGTAAGATCCTAAACTCATTTCCACCTGCTACTCAAGATGCTTTTGGCCTGCTTCAGTCACTGGCCTTTCCTGTGTTACACAGGAATTAAAATAATCATACTAGATCACAGAAATAGAATTTTAAAAGCAGTAGGTAAGGCAGTGGTTTAAAAGGGTCTCTCTCAGAGTTCCACAACTCTCTCCTGACACAAAACGACCAACAAAGTGAGTTGGTCAGTAAAAGAACTCTAAGCAGATACAGTGTAGGGGCAAATGGGGATTGACCCCTGACCTGTCCCCTGACCATGACCTTGAGGGTGGGAGGTTTCTGAAGGGAAGAAAACTAGGGATATAGGATGCTCCAGCTATCGATAAACTCGGAAACAGTATCTATACCCTTCGCCCTTCTCAGAGAGGTGAATGTCAGCTCTACTTGGAACTTCATATTTTCTGCCAAATTGCTGTTTTGCTCAAACAGCTCCTAATAAAACTGGAATCATCCAACTCCTCTTTGAAAAGCCACCTGTTCTGCAAAGCATTCCAACTACAAACACTTTTCAGATGCCTGTGGATGATCTTCCTTTTTGCTTTACTAAGCAAAGTCTTTTTATAATTAGCCACTAAAAACAGAAATTCAGTAAACAATCTGGTCTCTTTAATTGCTCTGTGTACTAACCTCTTTGTGCTTTATTGAGTAATAATATAGGAATCAATTCGTTTTCTCCCTAATTTTTCATTTTTAAAATACTGCTTACATCAGTTTTTATTCTAAGCAATTAGGTGCAGATAATATATAGGTAGGTGGAACTGGTCCAGTGCCTGTTAAACAACTTTCAGTTCATTGGATAGAACAATTTGTGGACAAACACTGAACTAGAGTGATCCCCAGGACATTTGATGCGAAAATTGCACTCTTTATTTCTGCTCTGCCAAATTCTATGCATTCAAAGGACTAAAATTAAATTAATAATATTGCTGTCCTATTCCTCTGACAGAGATAGGTGGTGCTTACATCTTTTAAAATATGGTTTTATTATAGAAAGTGGTTTATGTCATGATCAAAATGTTTTTTAGAAGTATATATATACCTATATGGACTTTGTGTATTTGATGTCAAACAATAGGATACAATGAGGGCACTTTATGCTAGGCAATGGGGATTAAACATTCAGATGTTTCTAAATGGGAAGATGTTTGGTATTATATAGACAAAACTTATAAGTGATGAGTCCATATTTTGCTTTCCAAATGAATACTTTACCATCATGTAGGCCCAGCTTTAGATTCAAGCTCAAATGAAAAAATAACTCAGTTTGATTATTTTGGCTCCCAGAAACTCAAACTGTGTTTATTCATATTTGAATCTGTCTGGGATACTCTTGGGCTGACTATGAACACCAGGCTGTAGAAGGACTTGCCAAGAAGCATGAACTGAGTTTATGTTGCCCTGTTTCCTCTCCCACAGGGGCACACAGAAGGAGAAGTGTGGGGGCTGGCAGCTCACCCTTTCCTGCCCATCTGTGCAACAGTGAGTGATGATAAAACGCTTCGGATCTGGGAATTATCCTCCCAGCACCGTATGCTGGCAGTTCGGAAACTCAAAAAAGGTATGTGACATCACCATACTCATCTGTAAAAATATTTACAAAGAACAAAATGTGTTGGATTTATTCATTCATTCAACTAATATTTACTGAGAGCACTTCTTGTTATATCCCCTAAAATATGTGAAGCATTGGAAATTAAATGTCGCTACAGACAGACGTGTAGAATCATCCTGGAAGGCCGGCCTGATCTGCCGGTGCCCAGCTCTGTTGTTTATTTCATTTTTCCTTGTGCTGCACAGACAATTGCCACCTGGGGGCAATATGTCCTTGCTCTCGCTGAGAAGAGGAATTAGAAACATACCAGCTTGTAAAGAATATACTTTATCTTTATAGCTAACAGTCTCCACAACTGATTTTATTATTGAAAAATAATAGTCAATTATATTAAAAAATAGCTAACATCAGGAAATGAGTAAATATGGATTGAATGCCTATATGCATTGGAACTGAGAGGTAGACCAAGAAGTAAAAATTCAGTTTCTATGTATTAGGACTGGGAATCCCAAGATGAATGGTCCCATTCCTAGTGTCAGATTTGAACAGAGTGCTAGTGACAGGTGATTCATTCAAACTGGGTAATTTAAGACTCCAAAAAGGGGACTCTTTGTAAAGGAGTGGGTACGAGGTTGAGAAATGACCAGGAATACTGCAGCTAGTAATAGCCGGGTCCCATTACCAGCCCTGGACTGAAGGGCCAGAGGAGGGAGCAGTTGTTGGAATTCTCAAAATGAAAGCTATGCTAGATGACAGCCTAACAGACTCAGCCAGCATGCAGTGACTCTGCAGCCAGACAGCTAGGGGAATACATACCCCAACCTCCCTGTCCTTTCTTCCTGCTTCCTTCCCTCCCTCCAGTCTCCTGCTCATGCTCCCCTTGGCCAAAATGCAGTCAGCAGCCAGAGGACAAGGAACCCATTGATGCAGTCCAGGCAGGCCAGCTCCAGGCACGGAGCAGGGTGGAGAGTGGACCTGGGAAGACAAATGAAAGATACCTGGCACAAACGTATTACAGAGGCTCAGAGGAAGGCCTACTGCCAAGGCAACTTCATCAGGGAAGAATCATGACAGTTGGGGG